TATATATATATATATATATATATATATATATATATATATATATATATATATATATATATATATATAAATACTGCTAGATAAAATAAATGTATCATTACTGTAATGCACCCTGATCCTTAAGGACTTATTTCATTGAAAATAATTGGAGATTGGCGAGTTTCCAATAGCATGCATTTATGATGTTTTTGGTATAGGTGGATGTCATACTTCAAGGCCAAACTTGTAGAAGCTGTAGTTAAGCAGGTATTTGATGCAGTGGAGGAGACCCTTGTCCAGTGTGTCACGGGTGGCCTGGGGAAAGATGACTGGAATTGGGGGAGGTGAGCACTGCTGTTGTCTGTAATGATGAATCTGGTGCCGGTACACTGTTGCCTCAAACACAAGCAGCATCAGAACCAGCAGATGACCCTAATAGAACAGAACACAGAGCTAGTGTGCAATTTATTAAAACCTTGACCATATACAATGTAAAATGATGTGTCACATTAACAAAGACACGAAAATACCCATACCTCTTGTGAGCTTGTATAATATAACTCATCTCCAGACTCACAGGCTTTATTTAGTATAGAATACTACAAAGTACACAAAATACTACTTTCTCAAACCATAGTGTTTAATTAACCTGAGTAGTGTATAATGATGAAGATGGGAAATGTTTGGCAGTGGAAATAGAAGAAGGGGGGAGGAAAATCATTTTATGCAATGTACATGCACCGGCTATAGAAAAGGAAAAGGTGTCATTTTTTAAAAGACTGAAGACCGTTATGGAAAAATGGAAAGAGTTTTTAATAATTGGAACTTAACATAACCTTGCATGTTAAGTTCAAGTGGTGTCCAGTTATTATCTTGAAAATCAAAAAATGTTCCCCCAATTTTTTGACGGAAAAAAGAAAAAAGAAAAGAAATTTGACCGATTAATTTCCTTGACTTTTTCTTTTCTCAATAATTTAGAGATTGAGATTTCACTTACAAAATTGTGACATTTTAGACTTGAGCATAAAAATGGCAAAAAAACAAAAAATATGCCATATGTAGAGATACTTCCAGGTCAAACATAGTATTTTACATAAGTATTTTCGATTTTGTTTGTGTGAAAGGTGAAACAGAATCTCACCTTTGTGTAACCGAGGACAGTAGCATCTTTCCTAACACCAAACCAGTTGGCTGGGTCCACAGGTGCTTTATACAGGGTGGAGTTCAGCACTTCATCCAGTTCTAGACTGGTCTCATTGACCATTGGCTACAATACAGAGAGAAAAGATGTAAACAATGTGGCCTAAACCAGCAAGTTATTTTTCTGTCCTCACTGAAAGTGAAATGTACCGACATAATATCTTGTTTGCTACATCATGCTGAATCTGTTTAGGACACTTCACAATTACGGAATAGAAAGAAACAAACTGGAGAGAAACACAAGGAACATTTCAAGTCTGCTTGACATCTTTTAGGCTGCAAGGCAAAATCCTGTCAGCAGAATAGACTAATTACTCTGAAGAGGAAAGTTTAGCCATTTATATGGTGATAAACACAAGCCTTTTAAACAGCCAACCAGAGAAATAGCCGTAGTGTATGTAAATCACCTGAGAAATACAATTCACTTTTTTTCCCCAAACATCCATAAAACGCAAGACTAAACACATCAACTTAATCCACGCTTGAGGGTATTTGTTTAATTAGTGCTAAGTTTATGAAACCGGCAGGGTGCTGAGACGTAAGTATCCCACAAATCCTGAGCGAGACGGTGTTGATTTCAAAAGTCATAATAATATGCTGCTCTGAGTAGTCCCATATGTAGTCCCATATGGCAAAAAATAAATTAGTTCAGGTTTTGTTCAAATCATACAAGCAATAGTAATAGTGATGCTTACCTTAGAAAAACTTTACAACTAACAATGCATAAAGTGTTTTTATAAGTATGCGTGTTTAGGTGTCCTGTCTCACCACGGTGCAGTTGTTAGAGTACACCGCAGGGTTGACGACACTGAGCTGGTACAGCATCTTGCAGACGATGATGACACAAACCCAGATGGTGGAGAGACAGGAGGCCATTGCTCTGAAACGGCCATAAGGCATGGCAAAACTCCACAGCACCACCAGGACCAAGTTCATTGCCGATGGCTATGAATGAAGGGGTGAAAACAAGAAAGTAAATACAAGGCAGGTGAAACACTGACATATCACCTCATAACTAGATAGGCAGAAGAAGATAGCTGTTTCTCTGTTGTGCAGAGAAACTACATAAATAACTACAGGTTATGAGACTGACATAATGAAATGGCCTAAATGATACAGTATGCAGACCTCCAATAGTGCCACCCAGACGACAAAAAAAGACACAATTTTGACGATGTGCAGTTCCAATACTCTCCAAATGAAACTCTGGACATGGGTCAAAGTGTCAGAAAACGTCCTTGACAGCACCATTAGTCTGTCCATCACCAGTCCCCACTTGCTGGGTATTGCCTCTGAAAACAAAGTAAGAACGGACAATAAAATTAGAGGTGTATGTTGAGGATCATATGGGTATTGGCCAATATTAAGTATAAAATTCCTTTCATTGAGCTACACCAGCACAGAAGCAGCATTTTTATTACTCTCACCATCAACCTCTGATGGATCATCACCCTGCTCTGTAATGAGATCTTCCTCCTCAAATCTTACTTCCTCTGTGGATCGAACCAAATCCGGATTCTCTATACCTCTCTTCCTGTGGGGGAAATCAATCAACAACTGCACTGTCAGTGATAATCCAAAAAATGTAATAGAATAATATAATAGAAAAGAAAAATCACAAGTCATACATCTTAAATATCTCAAATATTTCTCACGGAAAGCAATGTGACTAAATGGAGAAATTAAAATAATGCCCTGGGAATGCATCAGATTTAAAAAAAAAATCACACATTTTTGTATCAAAATATACATTTATAATTTTTTTAATACATTTTCTAATAATAGGGCTGGGTAAAACTTTATTTTACAGTGTCCTTTTCACGTTATGTGTACATTTACTATAGTCAGTCAATTATGCATAATTACCTGCTACTAACCCTAAACCAAACCCTGTGAATAATAGCTTAAACCTCACAATCAAAACTGACTTTGAAATACCAAGGTATTAACTTCTGAATTGTTTCTAGAGTCTTGCTCTGCTTTTTTTATTTTTAAGTGGAAAAAATGAGTACAAAGATGAACAATGCATCACTAATAATAATGATGCAACAAAAATAATGCAAAAATATTACACCAAATTATACATTTTAACATCTTAATTACACATCTGACATTTACTCATTTAAACTATGCATCTAAATAAAAATGTATAGTACACTCAAAAATACTTCAGACTATTTTTAAGATTTACACATAGTAAATAGTAATATAGTAATTTAATACAGTTTTTTGGGCTAAAATTACACAAGATATAATGGAAATTTTAAATGTTGTAATAAAATGTTTGAATGTATATAGGTTGTTGTTGTATTAAAAATAAATGCATTTATATTTGATATAATCCCAAATACTGCAATAAAAATTGTAATATGTTTTGTTGTTGCGTAAAAAATAATAATTGATCATAACAGGTAATAATTAATCAGGCAATAATTGTACAGTCAAAAATTCACTTTGTGACATCTCTAAATAAGTACACGTAGTTCATTAATATTACTCAGTACTTAATTGTATAATTACATTGTAACAAGTACACCTTAAAATAAAATGTAATCTAGGGCTGCCAATCACTTAAAATATGTATTTTAATCATGACAACTCTTTGAAGATTTTAGCATGGTGATGGATATGAATACATCTGCTACGCTGCTGCTGAATTGCTGCTGCTGTTGGTTATTGCTGTAGTTGTAGATTATTGCTGCTGCTGCAAGCAAGTACAGGAGCTTGCTACTGCCAATGCATACAGCAATACGGTGCCGTGAGTATTTAAGACATACTGCTGCTGTATGTATGATATAGCATATAAAATAACCCGTAGCAGATCTATACAGGTGGAGCTGGGGAAGGTGGAGGGTTTCAGAGAAACTCTGAAAGCCTGCTGCAGGAACCTCTAGTGAATGCTAGTCAGCCATATAAATGCAAGGCAGTAAGCTCATTGGCTGCATATGCAGCATGAACCAATCAGCTTGTGCCAAGTTGTTTAACTCTCTGAAAATCATCAGTTACGTTAACAAAACATCAGCCTGCACCATCTAGAGTTTCATGACTAAACTATATATTTATGATTAATCTCAATGTTAAGTTAATGTTTCCAGTTTCTTTTTAAAGCAAGTAAATTTAATAATATGTGTAATTAACATGGTCACAAATCGAAGATTGAAATAAATGTGCATGTCTATATGAAAAAAAAGCACTAGACAGAAGTAGATTTATTTACACATCTGACTTATAAAATTGACAATGTGTGCTTCACTACATAGTCCTGCAGCTCTGATCCATTTGTATTAGCTCTGAATGTTCTATTATTGTTTTTTTAGTTTTTAGAAATCTCACAGAAGATCATGAAACAGTTATGATTATAAACAGCATTCAGAATTAATGGTGTTAAAAACGTAAGTAACTACATATGCTAACTTTTAAATGTTCAAAATAATGGCTTTTAAATTGTTCTACAATGCATTTCATTTTAGTAAAATAACCTAATCTAAGATATATGAATGCATTTGTTTAGAGGTAATGTTCATGCCTGTGGATGGGAGTAACATTCTCCAGATCTGTGATCTTCATGAAGGGCTTATGGAAGTAGTGAAGCTGTAGAATACAGGCCAACAGGAAGAAGCCTGGGATCAGGATACTGCTGAAAAGCTCAGATAGTTTAAACGTCTCCAGTCCCATGTCAGCCAACCTAAAGATGGAGAATCATATGCAATTATCATGAGAAATTTACTTAAAAATGAAAATTCCAACATCACTTACCCAAACACAGTTCCAAACCCATACGGCATTCCATTGAACACAAAACAAGAAGTTATGTAGAATGTTTTATGTGCGATTACAGACTTTTGAAGCTTTTTTCCCCCTCTTTTGGAGCTTAAAGGTCACTCTTTTATTGTGTTGAAAAAGAGCAGCAGGAACATTCAGATAAACTTCTCCTTTTGTGTTCCACAAAGACATAAATGAACATGGTTTGGAATGTCATTAAGGACATTCCTTTCATAAATAGTAAACCAGGGGACATACTGCTGTTCTGTGAATCCAGTGAAGTTTCCCCAATAGCCTGGAAAGTCCTCAAACTGAAAGGTGTAAATAGCAATGAGCACCACCATGGTGTAGGCCACCACCATCCACCAGAAGGCCTTTAGCAACCTTCTCCAGAGAGAATAGTACACCTAAGGACAGAGAGGTTTTTCACTAAATTTTTATGACTAAATTTAGTGGAGAAAATTACATTTCATATGTGGGCTGGTAAAATTGTACCTGATACAGACACAGGCAGAGCAGAAATAGCAACATGTAGACGATCTTGTAGGCTACAAGCTTTCCTGCAAAGCTGACCATGATGAACATGCCTCCACACACATAGATCCAGTACTTAGCGTACAGACTCATCACCAGCCCACCCAACACCTTCAAAATCGACTCATTTCGACCTGTGTTCTCTGAGAGAGAGAGAGAGAGAGAGAGAGAGAGAGAGAGAAAAGACTCTCAAACTTCACTATTTGTGGTGAAATGTGAAACCCAAAACCAAAATAAGAAGAGTTCAACCACTCAAATGCATGGTAGAAAAGCAAAAATTGTTATAGTTACTCAGATGACTTTGTATATAATGGCCTAATTTTATAGTACTTAAGTGTTTTTTTTTGTTTTTTTATCATAACAGCTCAACTGTCTCAGTCTCCTATTTTTTGCTAAGAGCAGCGTAAACAATCTATAAATTAATTAATAATAAAAAAATTATTGGAATATGTTTATTCCAATTTAAAAATGTTCTTTTTAGGGATGGCACAGTGAGGAAATTTTCACCTAGTATATATACTTATGACAAAACAGCAGGGCTTTGGACACTTTCGAATTTGCGATCTTGGCATCACGTTTTACAAGAAAAGAGAATTGTTTGTTGCTCTTACATCTTTACACCTTTTACTTTCTAATACTAAAACGAATGCTTGAAAGATGGATTCATTATTATTCTCAATAAAAACCACAACTACAATAAAACAGTACAATGACAAACTAACTTATATAACGTTTATTAACAAAAACGAAAAAGATGAGGCACAGGTTTTACCACATGCTGTACTGTATTACATTATCGACTAGGAAATTACAGAAAGTTTTGCAAACACTGTGGAATCAAATAAATAAAAAATCCTCTGACAATGTAGTGTAACGTCAGGTAAACCGCAAAAGTCAACAGGCTTTTCAAAATTAAAACAGAAAATGAAAACTCAATTGGCTGTCGGTGACAGTGCATGTTTTTGCCAAGAAAACCAACATGTTCACCTTCTCTGGTTTAAGAAGCGGCCTTTTACTTTACTTTTGCATTTCCACTTGAAAACCAAATCCTCTGCCATCGTTACCTCAGTATTCGAGCTGCGCATGATAATAATCCAGCATTTACTTTCTTCATGCGATAAGCGAAACCTGACTTCTGCGGCACGTGCTGTATGGTGCAGAGCGGACGCTTTCAATTTACAACTGTCCAACTGAACTAAACTGTTTTTAATTTGATAAAAAAGCAAAACGACAGTGGGGGTGGTACCACAGTGGGCAAGTAATATATTCGGTGTACAGCAGAACACCAGGTAATACCGGTAACATAGACTACTGCAGCAAGCCTAGTTCTTTTCTCTTTTAATACACTGTAGAGTGTGAGAAAGAAATGAGAAGAATAGATGAAGTGGAGCAGACAGGGAATTACGAATGCTTTGATAATGATGATTAATAGACAGTGATTAATGGTTTAACTTCCTGAATGAATCAGAAATAAATATTTTTTCCATAAATCATGGCTTTGTAGTTAGTACTCTTGTTCCAGACAAATGGCAGGGTGTTCATGTGGTAGAATTGAGTTTGAGTCTGGTCCGTGTCGTGTTTTGACCCTGGCCCCACCATCACTTCCTGTACTCTCTGTATTTGATCTCTCAACAAAACGGCACAAAAGCAAATGCAATTGTCTCTTTTTGATTGTGTTGCTCTCACTCACCTCCAGTGGTGACCTCCTGCAATGGTGCAGTCACTCTCTTCTTCCTGCTGAACATGTCCTTTACCGACTGTCTCAGCAAAAGCCAAAATGTCAACGTGAACAGCAGCTGAGAACAAAGAGAAAAGAGTGAAGGAATATTTACACTTTCTTCAATGTATTATGAAACATCATGAGAATTATGACTGATCATGTAGTTTACGTGTAGTTGGATTGTGTAAAGATGTAGCAAGTTTTCCTAGCTACATTTCTCACAGTTTTCAAGGTTTATTGCAGCCATCTGTATCTCAATACATGAAGCCATTTAGAATTAGAATTTTATACAGAAACTTTGTGCATTCTTAACTGGAAGAAGTGCTTCCCAACTCTGTCCCTGCAGGCACACCAACAAAACACATTCTACCTTTTCTGACCCATCCATTTCAGGTCTTGGAGTTGCTACTAAGAAGCTAATGAGTTGAATTAGGTGTGTTTGAGTAGGACGATTTTGAAAATGTGTACTGTTGGTGTGCCTTCAGGAACAGGGCTAACACTTTCTTAAAGGAACATTCTAGATTCAATACAATTCAAGTCAAGCTTGACAGCATTTGTGGTGTAATGTTGATTATCCACAAAAAAAACTATTTTAACTTCTCCCTTGTTTTCTTAAATTAAATGAAAATAAAAAAAAGTGTGAGGCACTTACAATGGAAATGAATGGGGCCGATTTTTGGAGGATTTAAATGCAGAAATGTGAAGTTTATGATTTTATAAATTCACAACAATTCATCTGTTAAAAGTTTGAGATATAAAGTTGTTTTCATCAGTTTTACAGTCATTTTATGAATACATTATTGCATGAAAACAGCATTGCAAAATTGTATACAACTTTACACAGAAAAGATTGAGCAATTTCTAAAACTATATCATGTTTTAAAACATGTTAAAGGGGAGGTCTAATGCTATTTCATGCATTCTGACTTAAAGTCACTGTTAAAGAGTTGGATTCTCATCATAAACGTTGCCAAAGTTTCAGTATGACAGAGTATTTTGGTGCCAAATACACTCCTTCAGGTTGTATAAGGTTCGGAAGGTGTTTTTTTTTTTTTTGAGTATGACCCTTCATGACATCGTAAAGGGCGGAATTCCTTGTATGGGCACTTCTCCCAGAAGAGTGCGTGCACATCAACCAGAGCAAGAGCAAGAGCAGCCAATCAACGAATTATGCACGTGTGTTTGTTTTATAAACAAATTAAATAAAATTTAAGTCAATAAAGTTTTTGTTCCTGTTTTATGTATGTCGATCTCACAGCCGTTACACAATCGTGTTTGATCGTTACACAAAAGCTTTGTGACTCTTTAGCTCCACCCACGGCACGCCTCCAGGAGCTCGACTGTTTTCTGAGAGAAGCGTAAAGCTGTATCTCTCTTTTATAAATCTGATGAAACTAAAGACTCTTCGGAGATATGAAGGATGCAATACTACTCTATAAGTACTCAAGATTAACATGAGATTGGCGTAAACTGTGTGTGTTATATCCCCTTTAAACGCATATTGTTTATTTGTCTTGTGGCTATACTACTGAACCAGTGAGAATTTTTCATATTGGGCCCATTCACTTCCACTGTAAGTGTTTCACTGTAACTCTTCTTTAAAAATCATGATTAATAAACAGTGATTACTGATTTAATTTCCTGAACCTGAAGTGAATATTACGTTCTTAAATGTCATGGCTTTATGGTTGGCACATATGCCAGAGCCTTAATGTGGTAGATGTGCAATTGAGTCTGGTCTGTCATCAATTTCTCTAATTTCACAGTCATTTTAGAGTTTTAGCTATAATACTGCTATGGACATGATGCTGCAAAATTGTATACAGCTTGTATGGTTTATGTCTTGTGGCTATACTATTGCACCAGCGAGAACTTTACTGTTAACGTATAGGCCCCATTCACTTCCACTGTAAGTTCCTCACTGTAATCCTTTTTTCCCCCTTTTTATTTAAAGAAAAGGAAGGTCAAGTAAAAATTAATTTTCATGGTAATTAACATTGTTAATTTACACTGTAAATGTTTGATGAGCTAACACATATTGAACCCAGAAAGTTTTCTATTTAAATATCAACTTCTTATTATTCAATATCAACCTGTATTACATGATAATGGAAGTCATTCAAAAAAAATACATTTGCTAGAGCTTCACTGTCCTCACCATGGCTCCCAAGCGCAAACAGGGGTACTGTGCTCGGTCCAAACCCAGCTGGTGCAGGCTCATGGTGCCAATGTGCTGGGGCAGTTCCATTTCTAGGTCCAGGGCCCACACATACTGCAGGCAGCAAAGTGCCAAACCATACAGCAGGATGAAGGGAGAGCAAAGAGTGGCAAAGCGTTGACGTGCTCGCAGCATCCAGATCACACACGACCACAGCAGCAGCACAAACGTCAGCCAACTATGGTATGTTATACTCCACACCTGCAGGGGGGCAAGAATACAAATACACATTCATCACACACATCAAAAACATATTCTGGAAGATTGTTTTGATATAGAAAGGAATGGAAATGAATATAATAGAAATGGGAGGAACTGCACATGGGGCTGGCTGCCCAGTGTCTATTTGGTCAGGTAAAATGAGTCCAAATAATAATGCTACCATAGCGTGCTGCAGGAATGACATATTTTGTAGACCAAAACCCAGAAATTAGTATTTCATCACTTCAAGTTCCATCGTTCTGAAGTCACTGCTTTTATTCACACTCTTGCAAACTATTCTAACTCAAACATTCAGGGAAAATGGTTTTGTTGTTTCTTTTTAGTTTTTTTTTATGAAGACTGAAAGAGTTGTCAGAAGCTCAGTGATGGTGGCGTTGAAGTCATGTGACCATGGTCAAGTTTTGTTTATACTGTAGCCTACGTTGACTATTTTTAAATATGATCATGCTGAACAAAACTTGCAGTCATACACTTTTGTTGGTCACAAAGCTTATTTTCTGCAGAAATTCTAAAGCCAATGGAAAAAACCTATTGGGTTTTTGTCAAGAGAACCAGGGTGATATTAACTTCCGGGTCGGCCTACAAAATAAGTAATAATTGCTGCACTTTTTTGTAACGCTTCATTTTTTTTATTTTTAATTCCTCTTTGTCATTATTCAGGTGTAAGTTATTGTTCAGATAATGAATCAGCACAAAACTTAACATCTATAGATAGTAGACAGAAGAGCATATTTGTTTTACCATCATAGCTATGAGGGCACAAATGTAACTTTGTTGCAAGATCATTCGTCCCACCAGGTGAAGAGGATTATCGGCTGCAGCCTCTCCAATGGGCCCTGCACAAACAAACATTACAAGCTCAGAAACATACATATAGACTTCAAGGTGAACTGGTATCTTCTGTAAGTGTAAATGCACAATGTACATTGCCCTACCTGTGTCATGTTGACTTGAACCATTGGTCACAGATTCTTTAGAGATTTGTGATTCAGACAGCGGTGATACTCCCATGGAGAGAAGTGTTTGCTAAACCAGACAAACCAAAAAAACACAATGGTTTCACAATGGGTTGACACTTATTTTGATAAGTAATGAATCTGATTTTTATTCCTTTATTAATTAATCAAATATTCATTCCACATCAGTATGTGTTATCAGGTAAAAGGTGGTGAGAATGTTCAGCAGGACCACACATTCCCTGCTTTTAAAGGGATAGTTCACTCAAAGCACAGTTCCAAAACTTGTATGACTTTCTTCTATAGAACATAATAGAAGATATTTTGAATAATGCTGGTAAACAAACAGGTTTGGTCCCCATTGTTTTCCAAATGTATGGAAAGAAATACATTGCATGGAACCAAAACTCAAAATATTCTTCAAAATATCTTCTATTATGTTACACAGAAGTAAGAAATTATGACAGAATTTTCATTTTAACATACTCACACATAGTATTGACTGAAATCAACAGATGACTTTTTCTGTAATTGTAAATGTAGTAATTACACCATAAATGCATATAACTAAAGTCTACTGTGTATCACAGTCAACACAAGGCTTTTTGGCTAGGTTTAAAGCAAGGAAAAATTTACTTTTATATAAACAAGACAACAGGCTTAAGTCTCAGTGTTGCTTTTCAGTGGGTTATGCAAGGCTGGCATGATACACCACCTTCACCTCGCCAGCCTGAGGCTCTATTTTAGACCAGCAATAACTCTCATATTTACATCACACTCTGCCTTAACACAACCCTCATGTAATGAACATAAGATGGGAAAGAAGCTTGAAATCCTATTTTGAATGCAAGTAATTATACTTTTATATGAACAGTAACTTTAAAAGATTACTGAGAAATAAAGATAAACATTAACTGAAATAAAACAATTCAAAACATTAATAAACTATAATAACTATAACAGTAGCTCAGTGATACTAAAATAAAACTGGACACTACCAATCAAAAGGGTAGTGGCCAGTAGTTTTTTTTTCTTTAAAAGAAATTCATACAATTATTCAGCAAGGATATGTTAAAATTGATAAAAAGGGATAATAAAGACTTACATTGCTCCAAATGATTTCTATTTTGAATAAATTGTTTTTTCATCAAAGAAACCTGAAAAAAATATTAAGCAGCACTGTTTCCAAATCAGCCTATTAGAATGATTTCTGAAGGATCATGTGACAGTGAAGACTGTAGTAATGGCTGATGAAAATTGAGCTGTCACCACCGAAATAAATAATTTTTTAATGTATGCATTGTAATAATATTCCACAAAATTACTGTGTTTACTGTATTTTTTGATCAAATAAATGCAGCCTCGATAAGCATAAGAGAAAAAAAATCTACTAAACCTTTGGAATGGTAGTATACGTCTCAGACATTTTAGCTATTCATTCAAACCCACAGGCTAATTGATAGAAATCATTCAATTTGAATATTCTTTGTATGTCTTATTCAGCAGAGCGCCTGGCATTTTCAGCGGGCTAAAAACACTTTGGTGGACACACAATCTTAATAACACACTGGCTGATGCATCATCATTCTGTACAAGCTAAAATGATATCTAAATAAAAACAATTTAAAAGTAAATATTCTTAAGAGGGGCATCATCTCTCATCTTACCCTATTGTCTGAAGGCGGTTGCACCGTGTGCCGCGCCGCGTCTAGAAAAATTCGTAAAACAAGTACAACACTACATAGCTGGGCGCCGCGGACAGACGCCAAACGGTGCCGCCGGTGTGCGTACACTCATAGAAAACAATATGTTCGAATTTTAAAGACGTGGCGCGACGCTATGCGGCGCTGCGCTTCTCGTCCGGTGTGCGACCGCTTGAAGCACATTAGAGAACAATGTAAACATGATATTATATAAATGCTCACATTTTAGAGTACCAAGGTTCAAATCAAAGTACCAAGGTATTCAAATGTAACGCCATCATTGCACCATAATACCGCCACAGTACTTTCTTGGTGGTACTACAAATAATGGTCACTGTGATTTTGCCAAGTAGAACATTTTCCTGGATCAACATTCTTTTGTTGGTCCTGGAACAAGATTCCGGTCAAGAAGTCCCAACCTCAACCCTAACCATTAATTTGACGGTTCCAAACCCAGCCTTAAGCTTAATCCTAACTCAAACTGTATTGTTTGATAGCAATGTTGTCCCAGATCCAACAAAAGATGTTGATCCAGGAAATGGTGTCGATGTTGTCCTACTTCTAAAAATCACAGTAACCAGCCTCATTGGTTTACAGGAATGTTGTTCCAGGACAAATAAGGATGTTGAACTAGGTACACATACTACTTCAACAAATCAAGAGTAATCTTCCAAATAACAGGACAGTAAAAATGATGCCACAAAGTCACAGACACACTGAATGTACAGTACAGCAAATGTAAAGAGAATTGAGAGCAATGAACAACAATACCTGGCCCACAGGCCCGCTGGGGAGAACATGTCTTGCGCAAATGAGCTTTGATACAGGTAAAGACACACTAGGTGCCCCCCTGTGAAGAAGGCCACCATCACGCACAATGCATTAAATCCCAGATGGCTGATGGGAAAGTGGCAAGCCCACCATGTGCACACTCCAATAAAGAGAAGGAAGTAGAAGGCAGAGAATGCAGAGGGTAAAGTGATTCCTGGAAAGAGAAAGACATGAGTTCAAAGTCAAATCACAGATTAGACACAAAACATTCTCTACACAAGTCCTTCTATCTTCAAAAGCATGATATCACCTAACGTTGTGCTCTGAAATGCAACAGAACCTTATTCAGAATATAAAACTAGTTATTTTGCTACAAGAGATGCATTAGCACCGTTTTATATACATAATTTGTGTCCCAAATGACATGTTAGCCACAACAATTGAGTGCATGAAGTGTTGAACATTTCACAATCCTTTTTTCAGTTAATTAAGTGCATCATCCGGGTATTTGAAATGCACTTTTTCTTTTTGAAATGTTTAGTGTAAACACACTACACAGACTATGACATGGCATGGAATAATGAGTAAGCAGCTATGGTTAGTTTTCTCTTTTAGGTCAACTACTGTCATGGCGGAGCAACAGTTGAGCAAGTTAATCTGTCAACATGTTTACAGATAGCTACCTGAATAATAACACTTTAAGTTTACTTTGTTACTTCAACTACTCAATGAAACATTTACTGGTGATGGAAAAGTACATACTTTTGACAGAAACAAAAGAGTATGCCAGTATTGGACATTTTAGCACATCATCAAATTGCGTCTTGACATTTCGGAACCCTTTGTTGTATACTGTTTTTTTTATTTGCATGTAAACATACTGTACATGTAGCTAAATTTATTATCTTAAAACACCATTTTTTTTTTTTACACTGTTTAACTAATTATTTATAATTATTACTACTGTGGGAGCCTTGACCTTACATTCAACACTATGCAAGAGAACGTGATATATTAGCCAAAAAGTATGCAAACTTGAAAAACTTGAGATACATATCATTTCTAAATCACGCATACTATTTAGAATAGATTGTACACAAAACCTGCCTTACAGAGTCTTGTTCTCACACCTGTTTTTAACAAATTGACCAAATTTGTACTAGGACTGTAGCTATCGATTATTTTAGTAATCGAGTATTCTACAGATTATTCCATCGATTAATCAAGTAATCAGATAAGAAGTCATTTTTCTTTATTAAAGATCAATACTAAATATGCAAGAGATAATAAGATAGATATCTTAAAATAAACAACTAATTTGTTTTCTATTTTTTACATTTTTATTGCTGAAATTGCATACATTAATAACCATGAAAATTAAACCCATTTAATGTATTTAATTGCCAAATTACATTCAAAATGCAAATACAAATATATCAATATAGGGTATCAGACTGAATCAGACAATTTAAGATTCAATCAAGAACATGGGTAAAACACAAGGAGCCGAATTCCACAGAAAGGCCCAAGACACAGGATGTTCGTAAATCAGATCCTGGCGCCTCAAGCCTGAAGCAAGTCCACCAACTAGCAGCTTTGAGTAGCTCACAGCATTTAAACAAAATAACACTTATTGACAATTCCAAGGAGATTGTCAATTTTGGGGCAAGTAATCAAGATTAATGGTCAAAGAAATGCACATCATGACCATCACATGTGAACCAGTGATAGTAATCATGATCATGAGCTCTTTGGATTGACTTCCCCCACCTAGAAGACAAAGAACAGACTGAAATTCCTTATGAGAGAAATTCATTAACCTCTGGTCTTCACAGAACATGTCCTTATGTTCAGAGAATGGCACAGAAACTGCCTTTCCATGTAAATATGCATCTAAATGACACTAAAAGGACTTGTGAGCAACTAATCATTTCTATGCATAACTCCATATTATGTATCTAACCCACAAATTAGACTATCATGTTTTAATCACATATTGTGTATGTCTTTTTAATAACTATTGAATAACTTCATATTCATGTTTAGTATGTGTGTGTTTGAATCTTCTTGCTTGAAACGTTTCTTCCAATCGATTCTTTGTCAAAAGTATCATATTCTTGTTATAGAAATCATGTCCAAAATTATACTCTGCAAGAGCGGGAAAACTCGGACCATGTGACTGATGAGATAACATTTGATTTATGAATTGGGCGGAGGAATATAGCAACACCCCGAGCTAAGACAGTGTCTAATTGGTCAAAACACCATTTGGGATGTGTCCAAAAGCCCAGTTTAAATACTCAGGACACCATCAAATCTTGCTTTTAGTATGCAGCTTTTTAGTCATGGCTTTTAGCATGCTTTTTGCGTCTAGCTTGTAGTTTGTCGCTTTTAGTCATGTGCTTTCAAGTCATCACTTTTAGCCATGTGGCTTTTTAGTCATAGCTTTGAGCTCTTTAGTTTTTTTGGTCATGGCTTCAAGCCGTGCTTTTCAGTCATCGCTTTTTGGGCTCTTTGAGCGTGCTCTGGCTTACACGCCAGCTCAGCCAAAACCACGAGGAGAAACGCCACCAAGTCTCGTCAAACTTTACTTCTATTTCTTTAC